GGATGGGGACCGCGTGATCCTCACTGTGCCTGGTTGGAGACACTACAAGATATGGCTGCCAACCGATGTCAATGGCGTTCTTGTTGTCAGTTTCTATCCAGATTGCCTGAGTGAATGTCTGGAGGTGTAGGCACCTCGGAATGATTGTGGTACGCTAGCACTAAGTCCCCCGTCCACCTTTACTCTTTTCTTTACAATAAGGCTTTCAAATAAGTCATGGTTGTACGGCAGTGAAGCATCGGTGTTGAACACTGAGGTCATGCTGTCGATGATGATGATGACCAAACGAAAGGAAGAAGGCCTTCGGTGCGAAGCTATTTATTATTTGTTCGGCCCCCAGCCGTTTGTTTGCGCCGCCGTTAGCTGCTGATACCCAGCTTCTGCAAGTAACTCCTAAACTCTTCGTTCTCAAAGCAAGACCCCCGATCCGTTAGGGTAACTTTTGGTACCCCGTGGATGTGATGCATCACCACTCTCCGGTCGTCGTCGACCGCTGATTAGGCAGGACTGTCGCCTCGACCCACCCAAAAGGTGCAACCATGCCCGAAGGCCAAAGTGGAGCAATTAGACTATGAGGAGAGAGACTTCGTACTATGATGAGATCAATACGAGGCGGTCGGGAGATGAAATCGTACTGTCCTCTGCAATGGGAGTGTGAAGGCGACCAGCACATCTATATTCATGGAAGCAACGACGCTGCCTTTCCCTGAGGAAGGGCGGGTTAGGAAGTCGGTCTGAAATCGTACCTCTGCAATGGGAGTGTGAAGGCGACCAGCACATCTATATTCATGGAAGCAACGACGCTGCCTTTCCCTGAGGAAGGGCGGGTTAGGAAGTCGGTCCTAAAAACCGTACATTCCGATCGCCCAACGACTGACCGTGACGTCGGCACATTGTTCAATACGATCTGAATACTTTTGAACCTAGGTTCTACTCAAAAGCCAGCTGTTTTTAGTGTCGGCATGTGCCCGAAAAGAACTGCAGTTCAGACACCGAGGATACTTTCTATCTAGATTTATTCGGGCTCATTCGTCAAGGCAAAAGCACTGACACTGTGATCCTTGCAGGCAATATGAATGAAAGTGAGTCATCTGGGCTCTTTAGGTCGGTTCGGAGTCGCTGCTCTTCGCACAGACAACGGAGAGAGGCTCATCAAGTCGTATGCAGATCATCAGCCGTTTCTGGCTAGTACGAACTTTCAGTATAGAATTTCGTATCGCCTAACCTGGCGGCCACCAAATGCAAACTAACTGTGGACCCAACAAGATTACGTGATCATCAGCTAGCGACGGAGCTATTGTTCAAGACTGTAGTTATTCTGGGATACACAACCTGATTTCGATCATGCCTAAAAATTGGCTTTCTACAGGCCCTTGCACGTCAGCAAGAAAGATGACAATAAACCATTTTCGGAGAACTGTCGTACCTCAGAAGTATCGATCTGGGCTACCTCAACAATTATCTTCAGTAGACCAGTAGTGTAAAAGGATGAAGCACGACAAAATGTAGGAGACATGCTAGTGGTGTTCAGTCCTGTCTGTCCTAATTCTGCGATATGAGCAAATAACCGGAGGATATCGTCGGGATCGTCAGCACTGATTAATGCCAGGAAATCCATACCAGCAATAAACGAGTGCAACAAGGTACGTAAACTCCCCTAAACACCAAATAATGAAGACATTAAGGGAAGACCGATAGCGGCGCTGTATACTAGCTAATACGATCGAGTGACCAAGGGAGAGCAACGACCAACAAAACGTTAACAAAACAAAAGTTAAAAATGCATTCGCAAAACCGCCGAATGGAGATGGGATGAACACTTCGAGCAGTTTAGCTAGCTTTCTGCAAAAATGCCTCTGCAAACTGCATACGGGCGAATGGAACGGAAACTTTATTCGCTCGTAAGAAGCACTAAAATGCAGTGAAAAAGGTGACCATTTAGCTGCAAAAGCTCTTCTGGGCCTAGCTGCCATGCTAGCACGAGGGCTGGAAAACTGTCAGGTTGCCCAAGCAAAGACAGTGGATGTTGAGAGACAAAAGTCAGGTTCGAACCACGGACCTTCCGGTTACTAAATTCGCGCTCTGACCACTGAGCTATGAAATATGAAATATCCGCAGTGAAATGTGAAAAGGCACCAGGACCGGACGGTCTGTAAACAGCTCTCTTCAAAGAAGGCGGAGAATTCCTGGTGACTTATCTAACAAAGCTCATTAGAGCGACACGGAGTGAAGAGGAAGTGTCTGCAGAGTGGGTCATGACGACAGTTATCCCTATCTTCAAAAAGACTAGGCGGACGCGGTGTGAAAACCACCACGGCATCAGCCTGTTAGCTGCGGCAGTGAAGGTGCTTTGTCGTTGTTGAACGAACACAGAGAGACAGACCCGTGAAAACCAAAATTGGTTCCGTTTTGCAAGAAGATGCATTGATCAATTCTCACTCTCCGACAGATTCTGGAACAGCGACACTGCTCACAACAATGGTCGTCCCTCTTGACTTAAATGCCGCCTTTGACACTGTGGACTCTTAGGTACTATGGAAGTGTCTGTGGGGCAAAGGTGTTCCACATAAATTCTTGATCTTCCTTAAGGCGCGGTACTCTAACTCCCGCAGACGTTTGGTCTATGGGTAGATCTTGCCTGAGTTCACTATATCAAGTGGTGTGAGGAAGAGCTGCTCGTTTTAACCGCTCCCCTTCGAATAAGCTATCGGTGCAGTTATGGAAAACTCACTGCCAGCCTATAATGCATGTGGGGCGTAGTACTACCGGGGCGTTCGCTCACTCATATCGAGTACGCGAACGACATTCCTCTCCTTGGGTATGACACCGTCATAATTCAAACATTAGACAATCGAAATAATTTTGCCCCATGGTTCGACACGTGTTTCATCCCTGTAAAGTGTGAAGCGCTGCTGCAAGACTAAGTAGGCTTGAGCCCTAACCTCATGCCTGCGGAGGAGTAAATTTAGTAGACAAATTTGTTTACCTGGGCAGCTGTGTCAGTCCAGACGGCCTCACGGAAAATGATACCTCTATCCGGATTGAGGAGGCCAGAGTAGCTTTTATGCTGGTCGTTGCCGTCTCCCTGGATGGGAAACTCAATGAGACATATCAATGACTAGACATTGACAGATATAGCCAAGTTACGCATGCATCCAAGCTGTTGTCTTTAATGAATAGCTTACGCTCCTAATATCTACTATGAAAAGTCCATTGATAACCTTGTATTGATGCACCCATCAAACTTGTTACCGAACATTGTGAAGAAAACGAAGGCAGCTAAAACTACTGCACAACGACATGATTTCTACAGCTGAAGATTACAGTGGCTGTAGTTCTAAGGATAGTTGCACGATTTTTGTTCAACACTTGCGCGGTTTGCAGCTGAATGATTCTAGGTCACACGGCAAGCTACTGTCACAATAGGGGATGACACTGCCTCCACACCACCTATCACGTGTGTTGAGGGTTTTGACGGGCGGTTCCGTGTCGTAGAGCCAGGTTCCGTCGTTGAAATACAATACCATAAAGCTGTTTGGTGGTGCCTGTGAAGTTCGGCATACCCACCAGACTTTGGGCACTGCAGTAAAGCACGTAGTGTAAGTGGTATGGTTTCGACATGTGTGCCTACACGTAAGAATTCCTTAATAGGCCCCATTGGGTGCAGTGGTGATGCCGATTTGTTGCTAAGCCCCTGCTGAGGGATCACTTTATCGTGATGAATCTGCAGAACCACGAATCAGTCGGTGTAAGGAACCTCAACACGGTTCACTGACGTCAACTGACCTCCTTTTGTGTAAACACGACTCCAAGCTAGACAGATATCTACTGAAAGGAACAGCCAGAACAATGGGACCGTTCGGCCGCAGCAAAAATTGAAAAGTCTCAAGGTCACCAATCTAGTATAACACTGAAACCAACCATCACATGACCATCGATCCCCCTACATGTGAGATCAATAGTACGACGTTTCGAACGAAGCCAGAGGTGCGACAGTTACAACCTTGTACACAGTTTTGAGGCAGCTTGGTTTGTTGCGATACACAATGACACAGCTGGGTTATCCCTATACAAAGCCTCGAGGCCCGATCGGGGCAATGTATAAATCACCAGGACCCATATATATGTTGCCACCATTAATTGGTGAAAAGGACCATGATATGAGGAGTACATTTATCAAGGCTCCTTCGTATAGCCTGGCTAAAATGCTGAAGACGCAAGATTACGATCAAAGTCCAGGACCTGCGGCTTACGCCCAAAATAGTAAAATGACGAACACCGGTGACGTGTTTTCACCAAAATATACTATTACTGGAATGAAACCACCATTAAAGTTTGGTTTTGGTCCAGGTCCAGCCGATTACAATGTTGATCCGGGCAGTAAATTGGTATTTCCTATGGCCCCTTCGTATCAAATGGGCCAAATGTTACGTTCACTGAAGACCGACGGCACACCAGGTAAGTTGGCTGATGTTGCTGGTTTGACGCATGCAAACAGTTTTTTGATCGGGACCAGCGCCGTATGGTGAGCATGCTTATTCATTGCTACTGAGGGAAATCTCCCAGTAGTTTTTATACTAGCAATTCAATTGCTGACAATTCGGTTCAGTTGCACCTCACAATCATATCACAACCTTTCGATGGAGGTCCTCAAGACGGCCCAAAAAACATGCGCATAGTGACTTATTATTGGGATACCAATGTCCAGTGTGATGACGAATTGCACCGTAGTTCAATTTTGAACCCTGCTCTTAATTATGCATGGACATCGGATGCGAAAGTACCTTTTAAAGTATAATCAGCTTCCGTTCATCGCGGAAAAAAGCCAGGGCTGTGAAATGATTGGTCCACGCCGCCGTTACTCCCTCGTGCGGTACAACTTGCAGATTCACTTCATTTCTATTGTAAAGCAAAACTTCCCAAAATTGATTTGCACGGGAATAATCGGTGTGCTTTTAACTTGCCACTCCTCTCCACATACAACGTTATCTGGATGTTTCAGATCTGCCTGTAAATTCGTTAATCTACTTTAACTAAGTTCACAATGGCCAACTTCATCTAGTGGAAACATTGCACAGAAAAGGGAAAAAGCATGAGACCCTAGTCTGTACAGCCTCCCTGGTCATAATAGGAAAATGGTTAATATCCTGTCCGATTCTTGTGTTACGATAGGGGAAAAACGAAACCACGGAAGAGACACAACTATTCAAGACTATTATTAAGATATGAAGGTCCTGGTTCAGTTAACTAGGATATGACAACATGAGTACCCCCTTTTTCTCGTAATATCCCATATGTTCCACGCCTACAAACCCGGGAAAATGAAACAACCTTTACTGGGAGGCTCATTGTAGGTTCCACAGGATCTGTCAAGGCTTGCAAGAATTTTGAGGTAGGCTTCAGGCAATTGAATCCGAAATTTGTGGGCTATGTCAAAATTAGTTTGTCCCTGTGAATTGCACTGGAAATTATAAATAGTGTCCAAAAGCTAAAAATATTGGCTACACTGTTCGGTTGGATATGTCGGTCTGGTGAACGAAGTGAGGCGTTTTTACGAATATATTACTTATTGGCTCATCACTCAGCAAGTATTTTTTGGCTCGGCTGTGCTGTGGTCACAGGACTATGGAAAAGGATATGCTTAAGTACCAGGTAATCCTCAATGCCAAGTATAGCAATTAACTTATTCTCGTTTGTCATATATTAGTCTTAAAACTACATGAAACCTCCAAACATTTTGATGACACTGAGATTTACAAAATCTCACATTGCACAGTGCTTCCTAAATTTTCGTCGTCCGATGTGTCTGCTGGTGTCCAGCTCTCCGGTTGATTTGTCATCCTGTTGATTCTCGATTATGTTTATTCACCGTTTGATGAAACTAATTTTTGTTCAAGGTTTTAATTTACCCGGTGCACACGAAAACTCTACCGATTTTTACTTTTAGTGTTTTAGGAATGCTCTCTAATATTGACGGATCGAGGTGATTACTGTTTAGCATCGCTTACCCAAAGACCTCGATGGTGCCGTGCGTACGTGACGGGCACACTAAAAATATTTAACCCAATCAAACTGATATATTTTATGTACTCACGATGCTGATCTTGGCATTTCTATCTGGATTTTTCTACTGCCAGCAGTAAATGGCTTTTATTGTTAAATTGTCCAACTTTCACATTGAAGGATCTTTAATCTGATCCTCTTACTTGCTAAGTATTCTCTGATTTTGGGAACTCCAGGTTAGATGAACACACGCATAGTTCTGTAGACATTTAGAGCAACAAGTTTTGTGACTTTATTAAACCTACTAAAGCCGTGGTTACAAATTTAAACTAGATTATACGGCATGGAAGCCAGCGTACTACTTGTCCAGCGTTGGATATCTAAAGAACGCGCTTAGCGCGGACCGGCTTCATCCAAAGTGTCCGTTTCATCTTCTCCACCACAAATTTGTCTGTCGACAGCAGTCCTTATGTCAGAAAGAAGCAAGCAGTCTGTCAGCCTTCGACGTAGCAGAGGGATGGGAGAACAATGACCGAATTCGGATGGTGTTGCACAACTTACAGAATTAGGTCCGCTTGATCCACTCAGTGCTTCTCGACGTTAATAACATTCTTGTTGGCAGCTTCCAGTCAAACCCTCTGAAGGAGTGCCCGATTATGTATGATGACAAGATTCGCTGATGGATGGTGTGTGCTGCTGGAAACCGACAGTATTCGTTTGGCCCTTTTGTGAAGCACCGTTAACTTACTTGGCGCCTTATCCCATAATGTATTAGAGATGTAATTCCTAGTCAAGTGTATCTGTCATTTGAAACAGTTTGTTGACCTATTGCAACGATTTATTTTTTCTCACATAGTTCTAACTGAACCAGATGAACAACAGGCAATTTCTATCAGTGAACCTGTACAATCGCAGTGATTCTTGGATGTTTCGAATTGCATGCTACGTAAAATTCGAAGGGGACTCATTATTTGCCAAATAGTTATGAAAATGAGTCCGTGGGAGGTACTTCCAGATTTCTCCTGAAACTAACCTGCACCTATCTTTCATTTGAGATGCAGCAGATTGGTTTTTCGCAAAACTGGCTGCTGTTTTCTATCTACAAATGTTTGTAACACTGTAGTGACAGTGCAACAGTGAATGCAACCGCGTGCCAGTGCAACCGCGGTTTGAGTGTTTGTCATCTGACAATCTTCTCAACTCGGGGAGCGACTTTTTCCCCCTACACAGGGTACACTAATAGTATCATTTAGACTGACGGTTGGATGAGTTAAAATGACTACAGTTCGACGATATTTCTGTCGTGATAAAAGTCAGTGGTTACTTTTCACAGGATCTTCCAAATCCCATTTCGCCAGTAGACACTCACGCTTTATATCGTTGCTTCACTGTTGGGATATGACCCATGATGAAGCTGGCAACCGGTGGCCATCTTAGATTTTTGTTGGATCGACTCGACTAAATATACTATTTTTCTACACAGAGGTCGCGTGGTAAGTGATGTACTTTCTGAAATGCCATCGTTTCCTCGATAGGTTTCAAACTCGCCGGAACAACTCGCCGGTTGGGATCACCTTTAAAGAAACAGCCTTATCATTCTTTATCCTCTGTGTGTTAACAAGGACACTGAAACTCCCTGGAACACAAAAATGGCAACAGTGTTTACCTATTTTTATTCGAGTCAGGTCTGAGTTGTTTTGGTGTTCCATGTGAATCAGAGTTTTACATTCCACATTAAGCTCTGTCATCTTTAAGAGCGTGCAGATAACCTACAAGACAAAATCAAACAGTTTACGAGGTTTGGGGGCCTCTTGGAGAGAATGCCATTTTCAGGCTTTTCAGGGGTCTATTTCGAACTAAGATGAACGTTTTCACAATGGGTTTCTCTATCCGCGATGTGCACCCAAATATGTGTCATTATCAAGTGAGATTTTTTCAACTTGCAAAAGAGTATGTTTAGATTCCTGATTATAAATTCACACGTTGCACTAGAAAAGGCTTTTAGTGGGTTCTCTCTACCGGGCCTGGATAGAATAGAATGTTTCCCTTACCGGTAATCAAGTCCGAACTTTGACACCGGGGCCAGCACCGTGCTGGCTAAATAAAATTTGGGAATATCTAAGGTGAATTGTCCACTGTTAAGAAAGTGTACAGAAAACAATTAGAATTGTCATGTTTTCTGCTTACACGAGACTTTTCTATTTAATTCTGCTTGTTACAAAGAACAAGTTGTATAGATTATATCAAATCTCAGAACCAGCTGCTAAAGAGTCCACGGAATTCAGCACTGTAGTATCTAGAATGTACAGCCAAAATTTTTGTAAAATGGTTATAACAGTAAATGCAGTTCACATTTCTGTGAAACCGGCGGATTGTTAATAGACATGTATTCACTGGAGAAACAAGAAACATTGGTTTATACTGCAGATACGATCCCAGCGAATTCACTGAACGTTTGAAAAACTACTGATGTAAACAGACATTGTGATCGAAAAGGCCGATTTAACCTCAGTATGTTTCTCTTCGTATTCCGCTGTTTTCATTCTGTAGTTAAAACCTATCCCTGGTCAGTAGTTTACGAAATAACTTGCTTTGTGTCGTCTAGTATGTGGTTAGTTTATTTGGCAGAATGTTGAGGTATGAATATAGGGCTACTTCTGCCTATTATGTCTCTGCCATGCTCAGAGTGGATTGTCTAACTGCGAACTCAGTCATGAGGTAGTCAAGATCAACTCACTTCCGTAAAACTAAGGCTGCCACACTACTCCATCGCAGTTACGAAACCGACAGTGCTTCGGTTCAAGGGCAGCCTTGGACATAACAAATGAAGTTTCTGATTCACGAGAGCCCGAGTGCACTCTTCCTGAGCCCCACCTGGGAAGATGAAAATGATGCTTTCCTACTGAAATTGTTTTGATCAGCCTGATAGCACTTGACATAAAAATTGGATGAAATAGGTGCGTAGGTCTAGCTGCTCAGCTTAGAGAAACTGGTAATGGGCCGCCCAGAGTTTCATCGGCCCCGAGAGTAGTGTAAAACCACCAAAACACAGATTATTTCCAGCTCAGGAATTAAATCAAGCCAGGAGGAGCTGATATCACTCCACAAAGGATCATAAAGTCAACAATGCATGCAGCAATTGTAGCATGCGTTTGTGAATTATATTATTACACAAACGCCACAACTCTTGTAAGGGCCACATATAAACATGGAAACAGTGTGTTGGTGGTCCTGAATTGGAACGCACTGCGTGTTTCCTCCTAACTGGAGGGTAAGTGTGGTGGGGTCATTCAAATGGTGCTTTCTTTAGAAGATTTTACCAGTTAGTAGACTGTAACGCTCTTGAAAAACCACAGTTAGAGTTACAGTGAAGTGATTTGCTGTTGTGTCTCATGCGAAAAATTTATCACAAAACCCTTAAAAATCGCGCATAGTTAGCGTTAGTTGCAAATGTTGAATGTTGCTCTGTCATCAGTCAACGGAAATGTTATTTTGGGACTGCAGATGAAAATGACGGAGGTGTTTGGGATTGGCTGTACTGTTATGCGGACAGTAAGTAATGTTCAAAAACTACATCAAGGGGTCTCGAAGTTTCAATATTAAGGTTACGTTATCTGGTAGCTGGTGGGTGACTGAAGGGTTAAACCGTAATTGCCCCTTGTGCTACGGGCGCAGTTTCCCAGACTAATTTTTCCGGGTAACCACTTCTCAAATTTTGATTTTCAATTTTCAGTAAAAAAACACACTGCTATGCAGTAACTTGCAAGAAGGGGAGAAAATCACAGGTGCGTGACAAACCTTTGAGCAGGCTGAGTGACAGGTGATCACTAGGAGAAACGCACTCTGACTGCCAAGAGAACATAGCTCAACCAAAAGCAAGTGAACTAATTTACTTGGAGCGTTGGTCATTAATGTAATATAAACGCACTAATAATCGGTGAGCCTGCGCACGTCTTGGTTTCCCCTGTAAGAAGCATACAGGAATTTTTATTCGCTGGACTGTCATTTTTTTAAGGTTCAAGGCTTAGACGCCTGAAGCAGAGATGACCTGGACCATAATAGTCTCTAAGACTGGTTCCTTGTTAATTGCATAAGCGACCTAAATTTGAAACAGATAGCCAGCGGCTGAATTGCAAAATGATTGAAGAAAGTATGTAGTCAGTAAACTACACACACTTGTACATTGATTCGTTTAATTGACGCACTTCGGCGTACCACACTGTCGCGGATACTCAAGTTTGTTTGCTTTGTCCATCGACGCTTCCTTATTTGACTGAGACCCTAACAAATGCCTTTCATCTGGCCTTGGTCTGCATGCCGCGTTATGGTGAGTGTGATTGAAACTCTGAATTTTTTCACTGCAGCTAGGTTCACTGCTTTAAGGATTTCTGTTCCCACAGTATGTTTTTTCCTGGCGCTATTATTGTAGCCTGCTTTGTGGCAAGGGATGGAAAGTGCTGATTGACGGCTGATCTTTACTTCTTGCAATTCATAAGCTCTTATAAAAGATATTAAAAATAATGCCACAGTTTTTTCCTGGCGCTATTATTGTAGCGTGCTTTGTTGCGAGGGATGGAAATTGCCGAAATTGCTTATCTTTACTTCTTGCAATTCATAAGTTCTTATAAAAGATATTAAAAATAATGCCACAAAAGCGAATGAAAGTATTTGCACTCCCTGTGGGTTAGCAATTCAAAACGACCACTCATTCAGTTGGTACACATGCGAATATCTGTCTAGCTGCATCAGGGTCCAGAAACGTAGCACTGGGACTTACACTCTAACCTCAGCTGAACCTCCGTCAATAGTTGACGAAGTAAAGATATTTTTCGCCGTGGAAAATGTGGGGAAGACATTAATCTCATATAGATGTACGCATGAGATAGATAGAGTCTAGCATTTCCACTCAGTACAATATCGTCCTATAGGCTATTACTAACAGTCAATAAGCTTAGAATGTCACTTGTTCTTTATGTCTGATTGGAAATATTTTAACACCGAAATAAACGTTCGCTCATTTAAATTGTCAAAAAATCCTTCGAAGCTTTATCATGGAAGTTTTGCTTCATATAAAATTCAGGCCATTGGCTGATTTTGGGCAGGATGTCATTTTTACTGGACAGCAGCAAATTTACTACTATTCATCCTCAGGCAGTCTTGTGCTTGGAGGTGATTGTCTGCAGAGAAAACCGTGAGGTCGCAGAAAACTGGCCACTGTTAGAAGAAGCGTTTTAGGAAGAACCGTATGGAGAGATTCATATGTCATTGCTTTTTCGACAGCTGCGAATAAAAAACCAAGCAGTCGACCGTAGCGTTATTTTGTTTCACTGTTTTCGCATCATCCAGAGTGAGCACCAAGGCTGAGATACTGCCAGGGTGCCCATTGGTAGATTAAATTCCCAAACTTTAATCGTGCTGGATTTCGAGTTATACGGGCTCAAGGAAATGTCCCCGAAAGTATCCTGAGCAACGGTCTCACTTTGAGAAACTGACATTTTACGTGATGTTCACTCCCTTCAGCTCCCAATGCGTACACTCTGCCGGACCCATCAAAACGTAGTGAAATCCCTACTGGGCCCCGTTACACGATGGCTGGGCGAAACGACGCACACGTTCAGATACTCAACAAGGTGAGTTCAATTTCGGCGAGCCTATACACTCCACGCCATCGAGAATTTGTTACAGGGTATTCCCCACTATAAAGGTATTTGATGACTATCGGAGATTTTTGTGGATGTATATTCAATAGCCCATCAACTTAGGTGTACAAATGAGGGCAGTGTTAGTAGTCTACTTAACTGTTGTTTTGTTTGCTGAGTTATGTCATGCAATTCGTTTGAATTACTTCTTGTCAGAAATCGAGTGTATATCAGTATTGTGCATTCGATTAACGTTGCGCCGTAGTTTGAAGTTTATAAACCTTTTGCTAAGCATGGATGACATTTAGTTATGACTGATTGGTCCATCGTATTGGCTACGTCGTTTTCTGGTTGTTCGGTGTTTAGAAGAGTTTTCAGCTTAACCCATCCGAACGTTGTCCTGTGGTTATTGTTTTACCGATGGTGTGGTTTTTTTGATCACCACCTGGCTACTCCCATTCCCTTTTGGCTGTCCAAATAGTTCGTTTTTGTTTTCATTTGTATATTGTGTACAGTGGATGGAGTGCTTAAATTTATGACTGAGTATTGTGCTCCTAGGAACTCGCTTGCTCATCTCGACGACACAGGTGCCAAGCCTTCCAGATTTCGTTGAATATGTTTGTGTCCTTTTTTATTTTATTTCAAGAAAGTCATGCATAGTGGATCACTTCTTCCAATGATTGAATTGTGTTTTTCATCTGTTCAGAAAGTATTTGTTTAATTTGTCAAACGTTATCTCTGGCGGCTAATTCAATCAACAAAAACATTTCTTGTACTGTCGTTTATTTTTTCCTCTTGCCCTAGAATCACCAGTTATTTGGCTAGGTACTAGTTTCAGTCATATAAAAATTGCTGTGAGTTATGCTGAGTTTTTGATGTACGGTATCCGCTGTCTCCTCTGATCGTGCTGTTTTTACATTCGCTGAAATTTCCCGGGATGGCCATCTTTCTGAATTGTCTGTTTTGGATGGTTTTCAGTTCTCCTCGTTGTCTATGTACTGAAGCGTGCTTTCGCTCCACAAATCGAGTTTGATTATAGTTCTTCCTGTGGTTCACTGGGTGGTTGCTTTGGTAGTTTACACCTGCTTCAAGTGTGGCGTATTCCAACAAATGAAATACTGAGTAGTGTGTACACAGTTGTGCTGACTAGCACACGCAAGAATAAAGGTTTTCTTCTCGAGTTCAAAGTTAAGTTTGAAAAGTTCAGTTATGCATTCTGCATAACATACCGTTTCACAATGGCGAGAGCGTTGCCCAAGCAACCGATAAGGAGTTCATTGACAAGACTTTTTTCGTATTACCATTCCGGCTGTTCACTAAAATCACTAAAGATGACACTGGAGATCCAGAAAATTTGTCTACAACTTTGGAGTGTTTATCTGTGCAAGCGTTCACAACTTTCGCGCACTCTCCAGCTTTGTAGATCCCGTTGTACTCTAACCGGTATGAGGTACCCCACCACTGTTTCTTTGGCGGGTTTGTGGATTTTTGATGTGAAAATCGTGGTGGTGTCCGGTAGAAAAATTCTTTAATCACCCCCAATCGTGGTGTGATATAGTTTATTAGGAATTAATTGAATACTAATCACTTATGGTCAAGTTTGCTGTAACTTAACCACATCTTTAAAACCCGACCATTTTATTTCTGTTTCGGAGGAATTCACATTTGTGAACGTGTACACACGTGAGAATTCACTTCGCGCACGAACCCTTACTTTAGACATCATCTTTCCTCGAGTGTGTGGGCACAGAACAGCGAAGTGCGGAGAGTGAGATTAATCCCTCTAATCCCCCGGGCAGGACAGTACATCATCACAAATGAGTCAGGCAATAAGAATTGCACGGTGTATTTGATAGCATCATGGATATCTTAGACGCAGTGCAGTTGAGCTGGAACAAGCGTCGTGCCGATTAGGAGGTGAGATTATGTAGAAAAGGTTAGCTGACTCGATGTAGGCTTGCCAGCCCCTGGCCTTCATGTGTGGTCACAATGTGACGATGAACTTCTAGTTTTTCAGTGGCACCAGCAGAAGGAAAACTTTCCAAAAACCTGCAAGCCTTTGCAAGTAGCGTGAGTCCAGCAACCGAGAGAACAGTATTGGTTTGACCGCAGTGTACATCGGTAATTAACTCAGACTTATCATTTTGAGCCCATCCAGAAAGTTTCATGTTATTGGGACTGGCAAACAGAGATATGGTGGCCGAAATCTGGAGAATTATAGATTTGTTTCGCTAGAGTATAAGGAAGCTATTTTAATTTCCCTCACTGGATACATAAAACCACATCTTCAACCATTTACAGGATTTCTTAGCGTCATCAGACGGAAAACAGCCCAAAATGGAGACTTGCAGTTTCCACTAACTGATTGGAACCACTCTTGCTCTATCCTGCGGGGAGCGTCAACACCTTCAAAAGCGGCAACTTCCTTGTTTGTTATCATTAGTAAAGCCTTTGTAGCCTTCTACATCAACCATATTATAAACAATTTATTCCCTGCAAAACCTGTCAGGATGGCTTACAACGCGTCGACCTCTTTTCACCTGATGGGAGTAACTGGCAAGGTTATCAGTTGTTGCAGGTCCTTGTCGTCACACAAAGATTAACCTTAGGGGACGTAAGTGACCATTGATGCACACTGCGTTCAAACCCGATAATCAGGTGCTCCAAACTCTTCTGTGCCTTTTACCTGAATGTAAACGGGAGTTCTTGACAGTGAGGTAGCTGTTCGAAAATGAGTTCCTTTCTTATGCAACAGAATAGGTGAGCTCACGAAAGAGTGGCAGCTACCATTGCACTTATAAACTAACTGTCCGTGTAAAAACAAAAAAGTAAAGATTAGTTCAGTTGCTTTTTGGTAATAAGACGAGAAGCTCTATTTTAACGACCGATTTCCAGAATACGTTTTGCCTGAATTATTTCCAGTAGCAACCGGGTAACACAGTCATGTGTTCCCTTTGAAGGCTTGATAGCTTCAATAGGAATTTTTCTTTCAGCGAAATTTCAGGCTCTCAACGCAGGATACAATCGACTTCCGAAGCCGATTTTGTCTGTTTTGTACAAATCATTGAAAAAAAGGTCTCACTGAGCGAATTTCGACAGATTTTCCCGCAACCTATCATCGGATACCACATTGGCTACAAAGCATAGCATTTGAGTATATACGTTGTACTGGGATAGGAACACCACAGCCCCCCAGTGATTCCTGTGAAATCTACTTAGCACACCTTGTCCTAAATCCACTGCCTTCTCCCGCAGAACTGTACCAGCAATAAACGCTTCCAAGATGTGCGCATGTGAACTTGCAGGTGAAATGCTTGGATTCGTTTGCCTCTACTTCATAGGGAGCATCTTTGGATCCGGACACGGGTTTTATGTTTTGCAATCTTCAATGGACGATAAATTATGAGAAGCAGATGAATACTCATCGGCATATGAATCTTCGTTCAGTTACCCACTTTTGTTCAGATGTGCGGGCATCATTAGGCTTTTTGTTTTATCTCGTTGGATGTAAAGATGACCGAGCAATTCGAAAATATTCCTGGCGGTAGCCTCTGAACTTGTCAGATTGGAGATAGGATTACAACATTAATTCTGAAATTTGTAGGCTCCAGCTAGATTAGTACGACCTCAATAGCGCCTTTATGCAGTTTAGCCTAAGCTCTTTTTTAACCTAGAAATAGGTGCTGACATTTCTAATGTGACATGTTAGTTGACATACCTTCTGTTCCTCTTACCATATCTAGTTCCCTGGCCCGGCTGATTACAGTGTTGGCTCTCCTGACCTGTACCTTCATTCAAATCCAAAGTATACCATGGGTATTAAGGTATCGGAACGAAGTAAAGCAGAACTACCGGGGCCACTTTCTTATAAGTCGGAGTTGGTAAGTGGATGAAATCTGGTTGACTGATTTTGCATAACATAATTATTCACGACGATGACTGAGCTCTCAAATGGCTGTGGGTTGGGAAATTCCTTGACGTTGTCCTTCATCTAAGATTTAGTTCATCGTTACTTGTCTCTCAGTAGCGTAAGGATATCTCAGTGTTTATTGACCAGACGGGAAACAGACGCCCCGAAAACGGAACAAACAACGCTATTCTTACTCGCTTGTGAAGCAGGTTTCGCTGCCTGCTATCACTAGAGTTAATTATTTAGAATCCCCTCAGTTAGGGTCATCTGATCCTGCATACTGGGATTATTGTGGTGAGTTGTACCGTTTTATAGACAAAACCTATATCTTCAAAGGAAACTTCGCGTTCCAGGTAAGGTCAGTCTATGCCCAAAAGTGCTGTACAGCTGTTTCATCTTTATTGGGAAGTAACAGCGATGCGCATTTGACAATAGTTTTGGCTGGCTAGATAACAGGTATGGTATGGCAAATCCAAGCAAGCGAATTTTCAGAAATCAGTACTTGCAGCTATCCAGATTAGCCAAATGGAAAGGATGCGCAAGGCAAAAGAAATGAAAGCTTGTGGGTATTTACAATCAGGTCGGAGGAGAATATATGACATCTGGTAAACATTTTTAGGCTCGCATATATGTAGTGGTTAAAAACCAACCTCGGTCTTTGAATCGCTCATGTCCAGGCTTACGCCATCTAGACGTTCGTCAACCCTTGTCTTTTCTAGGCAGATTAGCGCCAAAAGATAATTGTAACAGAAGGATTTCCGAGTTTTTGCACTTTTACAGGAGCTAGACCAGTAATCACATTCGGTGACAAATGACAACTATATGGCGTGCCAGAATGTGCAACTTTCTATGCTCAACAAGATTGTATCAAGTGTGTGTCAGGTGTTTCTTTACCAAGAGAGATTTTTTAAATAAAATTCCTTAAATCACCCTAGGCTTACTTGACCATTCCAAACTTCTAGCCGTTCTGTGCTGCACGAACAATGGTTAAGAGCTCCAGGCGTCTCGTTGGGCCTTACGTTGCAGTTCTATATTGAGGGAACTTTCAACTAAACTGTTCACAAATAAACTCTATAATTAAGTTGTTCTATTTTTTGGCGCCAACTAGGACCATTTCAAAGTTAGGAAGACACATATTTCGTCGGAAAAATAAGTTCATTAAAAAGTCAGGGATAACAAAAGACTGCAATCCTTCGAGGTAGAATGCTTGTCGCTACTTTTTATTATATGTACCATGCACTTCTACCCAGTAAATTATTCCGTCAAAACTCAAAGGAGTCAGTTTCCTGTTTATTTCGTCACCAGGTCACAGCCCATCTTCCGTCGACGCCGAAATTTACTATGGGTATAAAACATAGTCAATACAAGGGGGAATTCTCTATCCAACCCAGCGATGATTTCTGATCAGTGAAAATCAAAATCGAGACTTCATATGCACGGAAACAATGGATGGCGTGAAACTTTCTTCCAGTTCTTTTTCCGTTCAATTGAAAATGAATGATTTCCAATGCGGAAAACCACAGGAACCTCGGGCATACACTTGTGTAACAAATGCCTTTGTACACAGAGTATCTTGATGGTTTGTTTTCATTTATCAGAAGAAACAACACTTATCTTGCGCTTAGTCGAATACTGCTACATATTCGATATCCGTGTTCTTTGTTCAAACGAATTTTAGACAGATGAAGCAGAAGTGGCAAGTTACAAAAACATCCTCTAACGGTTAGATTATGACAAACTGAAACCAAAAATGGGAAAACGTCTTGGTGCCTGGCTGAAATGAGTAGACCCGATGTCTTTCATTTTCAGTATCCTCATACTCATTAGCCCAGCCAAAGTGTAAAAGCGATTGTTGCTACGTTTCAGACTGATTTATGTTCCAGAGTATCTTTCCCACCTGACAAAACAAAGAAATTCAAACCGTTAAAATTGCCTTATGCAGACTTATGTGAACAAACATGTGATCAGGAAAATCCTCGAGGACTAATAGGACGCCTTCAATGGAAGCTGGTATCAGAAAATAGCGCTTCTCTTTTTTGTGCGTTCCACGAAAAAAGAATATTCAGACTCTGTAAAACTGCGCTAAAGTACAATGATATTTCCCTTGTCCCGATGAGGACGTTTAAATATGACCCTTTAGAGAGATGAAGGCGAGATGGCGCAAGTGGTTAGAGCGCGAATTTACTGACCAGAAAGTCCGTGGTTCGAATCCGACCTCCGCCTCTCGACTCCCCCTGTCTAGACTTGGTCAACCTGGCAGTAGCTCAGCCCTTGTGCAACCTTCCGGTGGCATGGCTGCTAGCCATGGTTAAATGAAAAAGACTCGAAATAAGTTAACTGAGTGTTGGTTTTGGGATTCGGGTCTAGAACCCGATTCAACTAGAGGCCTGGGTGAGGCAACTAAAGGGTTCATTAGTGTCCTAAGAAACAGTAAACTCTATGGGTTTCCTCATCGTAGCGATTGCCAACTGCATAATGTCAATAATCGGGGTTATGTAGTATGTGGAGATAAATGTGGATCTAGAGTGAATTTTAGGGCTTTCGGAATGGTATATTGGTAAAGTGATGAAGTTTGTAAAGTTGTGTAGACCCGCCGCCGAATTTACCGCGGGTTCATAGGTTTTTGAAGCACCATATCTGTCCCAAGTCCGGGACTGTTTAGGTTGTTTCTGCTGACAACGCATTTCAATTCCATTTATCAGCTATAAACCGTGTGACATAGGCACATCAGTTCCAACTGCTACAGTTTTGATCGCGGGAATACGTGAAAGTGGAACGTACAACCAAGCCTTGGAGGCGAAGACATGTTCAGTCCGTTCGGAAATTGGGTAGCTACGCATTTAAGGTGATAGCTTTAATGCACGATTGCCACTGACTGCGCGCAGAAGTATTCTTGTAAGAGGGTAACCAAAATTATGAGGTTGTTCCGTACGTGTCATAACTTCAGAGTTCGGTGATGTTTTCTGCCTTTCAACTAAATAATTTTGGAGATACTGTGGACTAAAAACACTGTACTGTATGATAAATCATAGGCATCGCACAGATAAAAGTTTAGCAGATACTTCTGTTCATAATACTTAATTTACACATGTTCCTTCATCTTGGGTTATTCAATAGTTTTCTACCGCCCCATATTGTAGTTAACTTAGTCGATTTCGTGAGCAGCTGGTTGGGTGCACTAAGTATTACATTGTTCTGTTTTCTAACTCCAGTATGCCGCCCATTAGTAAGGAATAGATGACGTGGTTATCTCCCGCTTCTGAGCATACTTTCCTAGCTGTCGAAAGTAAAGTAAACTGTTTGGTTTTGCCTGCATTAAGGAAGGAACTAGCTCAACCTCTAGGTTACTCCGGACCCCTTCTATTCATATGGTTAAGGTAGGTGATTATGCACCATCTTTAGAATTTAGCTCCAAGCATCTTTTATTTCAGTGTGTAATAATTGTTGCAAACCCATAGATAGCGCCCTGGGCTCCCCGGCATTGAATTCTAACTTAATATGCTCACTCGTAATAGTAGTTGCCTTTACGGTTCGGAAATGACAGTTTCGCTGAAATTCATGACGGTTCTGGCTAGCAACTATGGGTCCAACCAGATTACACCTAGCAGTTTTCTGAAGTGAACCGTAGGTAGGCAAGGACTTTCACCGTCATAAAAGACACGAAATCAGCAATATCCTTCATGAATTCTCACTTGTCTTTAGTAAGGAAGTAGTTGACAACTGCTTTGAGAGTATGGGTTGCTAACAAAGCAATCAGGTGGTCAACCCAAAGGTGGTTATACAGTAAACACATCCGTATAAAAGAAAAACAAGGATGGAAAAGTTGCTTTTGGTAATCAAAGGATTACTAAGGCGGGAAATCTGTGAACGGATAACCAGGATGTCAGTTCTTGTTGCGGCGTGATTTGTTTCCAAGTCTTTTGTTGTTGCCAGCTTTCCATGTGTACACTTCACTTTGGTATTGCTAGTAAAATTCAGGTTTCTACGATGTACAAAAAACGCGGATTGCTCCTATGTGTCCTATTGATCGTTACTCCGATAGGCGTGGATGTATTGTAAGCATCTGGAGTAAGCATGACATTTGTTTACTCATCGTAACTAGAAGCTAGCTAAAGACTAATTAGATGCGTTGCAGGCAGATAATTTTTCAAACGTCGAAAGCACAAGTGACTCGGATGAATTGAATAGGCTTGAAAACGAAGTTAAACTTTAAGACTACGCAGAATTGCATGTTGTTTAGCATAATCCAATGTTATGACAGCTAAAAGACAGTTTTTCCCTAAAGATAGGTAACGAAACTGAATAAAGTAACTATGTCAAGACGACTATTGCAATAGGGCATTTTTATTTACTAGCGTAGGTTATTTTCGTTTGAAGGTGCGAGTTTTATACGTGATATGTGTCACCGGTACAGTTGAGAGAGACAGTAGTTTATTTTCCGCATCAGCTTCCTGATGGAACAATGTGGCAGCTAGTAATATCAAAATTTCTGAGACAGGTTATTCGCCACTGCGGTTGATTCGATGGATCATTTGGAATCTTCGTGAATATCTCGAAACATTGACATGGGTGGTGTGCCTGAGTTCAGCCGGTTAACGAATTTGGCCTTGGGAAGAATTCTCCCTAAAATTCCAGGGTGTTCAATGGGTTGCTATAAGGTGAAATTTTGCGATTTTATGTTTCACGCTACACGTTATGAAGTGGATCTTTGGTTTTGCCTGCATTAAGGAAGGGACTAGCTCAACCTCTAGGTTACTCCGGACCATGAGAACTCGAGAGGTTGCGGTTGCATTGCCATGTCTTGTAGGCCAATAAGTAGCTGTGAGTAACTTACTTTACTACTAAAGCATCTGCTGGATTACACCCCATGGCCAGATTCATTATACAACTAGGTTCCCAGATAAAAGCGAAAGAGTTGTGATAATGTTTTAATATTAAGTTTACCCATTCTGTTAACGATGGGATGCTTGGCGATTTCTACCGCCTCTGCTATTAGTCTCTGTGAGGTGGACCGTAGTCCTCGCCTCAAAGCCTCAACATTTTCTAAATCTATTTAGTGTCCCGTGTCGCGTGCGTGTTCCGCGATTGCCGAGGCTTTCAGTAACGCTTGATATTCATTTGCATTTCTCGGAGGCCTGTTTATTTTTC